TCCACAGGGCAGTAGTTTGTGGGAAGAAGCTGTTCGAGTGGAACTTACTTATCACCGATGGAATACAGGGGGAATATGGGTGGTTTGATACTATGTAAGAAGCATGTCGTGTTCTTGCCATGAATGTTTGATTTGGCGGGACCCAAATATGCGTTCGACCGAGCACTTTCTATGGAAATAGCAGCAGAGCACCGAGAGGCTTGCTACACCCCGCCTGTGAGAGAGAAGTTGAAGTTTGGAGCTGGGAGAATAATTCATCGCCCACAAGGGCTGGGAGACGCTTTTGGGCGCTATCAAGTCTGGAGAGTGGGGTCTGAGCAGCTCCCGTCCAAATAGCACTTCATTTTTAGTACTTCATTTTCGAGTGGAACTTACTTCTCACCGACGGAATACGGATGGAATGTGAGTGGTTTCCTTCTATGTAAGAATCTTGTCGTGTTCTTGCTATGAATATTTGACAGGGTGGGTGTTGCAGTTTTTTGTGTATATTATGTAACTAGTGAGCTAGCCCAAATGACTTGACTCACTTTATAGTCCACCAATAGAAGGTTAACCAATCAGAAGACGTTGAATATTCAATCCGTTGTTTATAAAGGCGGCCATTTTGTTTAATTTATCCGAATGTCCAGTCCATCTTGTCAGGCGAAGAGAAACAGAAGGAAGAACTACTGAACTATGCTCTGCTACTTTTACCAAAATATCCACTGCTAACTTGAACTACGCTTCCCTACTGTCTTCGAAATATTCACTGCTAACCTTTGGATTCTATACTCAAAAGACGACCGTCATCATGAACAACAGTGGGACCAAGGAATGTTTTCTATTCGAGCACTTCTCATGGAAGTAGCGGTAGAACAGAGAGATTTGCCACATCCCGCCTGTCAGAGAGAGAGAGAGAGAGAGAGAGAGAGAGAGAGAGAGAGAGAGAGAGAGAGAGATAGATAGATAGATAGAGAGAGAGAGATAGATAGATAGATAGATAGATAGATAGATAGATAGAGAGAGAGAGAGAGAGATAGATAGAGAGAGAGAGAGAGAGAGAGAGAGAGCGAGAGAGAGCGAGAGAGAGAGAGAGAGGTTGGAGGGTGGACAATAATTCGTCACTCACAATCTTTCGGAGAAGGCTTTGGACTCTATCAAAGCGGGAGAGGGAGGTCTGGGCAGCTCCCGGCCAAATAATAAATGTCTTTTCGCTATTTTTCCTAAACCCTGTTCCGCCATCTATTTACTCACCGTCATGAAGTATTTTTGCACTGTTTATCTCTGTTCCTCTTTCCCCTCAATTTGTTCAGTGAGTATCAAATTTTCCAAGCCGTCCTTCCTCGTTACGAGCCAGACATTTTAACTGACTCTTAAATGATGTTAAGTATAAATTTCCTATTTGTTTTGATTTTCTCTAAAAAAAATTCGTTGTTGCTGGCATGTACAGTCTTTAGAATTCGTCTGTAGAACCACATTTCTGTTGCTTCGAGTCTCTTCTTCATCCTTGATGAGGTTGTCCAAAATTCACTGCCATTTTGGAGGACAGATATCGCGTAACAGCTCTGTACTCTTTTCTTTTTTCCTAACGAATTTTTTTTCTGTCTCTTAATACCCTGCTTAGCTTTTTGGGGGCATTTTTGGCTATCCCAATCCGCCTTCAGATTTCAGTGTCGCCTTTTCTGCCCTCTCTTGGAACAATTGTTAGATATTTAAATTTTTGTACTTCTTTGATTGTTGGACGTGCGTTGTCGTGTAATAGATATAGGAAAACGAAACGCCGAGTTCGAATCCCGGTCGAGTTCATTACATACACTTAAGAAAGGCATGAACCCATCACTTCTCCCTCCAGCTATGTGTTGAATAGCAGAACGGACTGGGTTCTATATCCCTTGCTTGGCAACCAGTCTACCACAGAAAATAATAAAAACCTAGCGCGCAAAAATCTTCCAAACGCTCTCTTCAAAATGCATTGAGATACCACAAGAAATGTAGGCTCATAAAATTAACATGAGAATGATATCCATGTTGATGCGTAGCCTGCAACTTTGTGGAGTAAGCGTTGGCTTACTTGTTTAATTTTGGTATCTCCAATATGACATTTGCATTTTGGTCCAGCAACCCGCAGAAAACAGGAATAATTTAAGCATTGAATTAGAATCGTGGAAAAGGCACATTGTACACAGACATCTGCAAATACAGGCTACGACAGCTAAACTCTCGTCTAAATCACGCAAAAATGTAAATAAAACTGACACCTTATTTTAACATATATATTTAACAAAATTACGCAAAATATATCTTGAAATACTAAAGAGTAAAGTTATTCAACAGAATCACCGTTGCCTTCAACCACAGCCTCCAGACGACTTCGGGATCTCCTGTAACTCTTGTGGGCGGTCTCTTTCTTTAAGTTAGTGAATCTTTGGTGCTACAAGGAGTTTTGTTGGTCTCTTTCAACTGTGCCCCCCATACACACACAATAAGGGGGTGCAGTCTGGAGTGTTATGTGGCCAGGTTTCAAGGGGTGATGTGGTCGCAGAAATTGTCTGACAGCCATCGCTGGGATCTCTTGCTTGAGTGGCATGGTGCAGAGTCATTCTGCTAGACATAGGGCCTTCCAGCAGCCAGCTACCCTCTTGATCCAGGGCAGCACTTATCCCCTCATGTCGGTCTCCGTGTTGAGGCCCGCATCAATAATTATCAGAACTATCAAAGTGAGTTTAGTGAGCTTCCGTACCTTCGTAATGACCATTAGACTCGTCCAGCTCTTTACGAATTCACTGCACTGTCCTCATATTGACACCCAAACACTCTGAAATGTTTCTGTTAGAGCTTCCGGCGCGAATGCCAAGCAGTACAGCATACCGTTGCCAAATTTCTGGCGGAGTGAATTACGTCATAGTGCTCGTTTTCTCACAGACGGTGCTCAATTAATCCTACTATACTCTGCAGTCGATAAAAAAACAACGCGTATGCGCGAAATTCAAAATATAAAATGGCGACAATTTACACATCGCACCCTGTAAAATCAAAATTAATGTCGATCAACATTTTGATAGTGTCGAAAATGTTTGTTGATCCCATGGAAGTATTCATATGTCTATTTTTTATTCAATTGCGTGTCTTGAAAATTAAAAAAGAAAATGTTTGGTAAGGGAACTTGACAGGTCACCGGCCATATGTATGGATATGTATATATATATGCGTCATTACACATTACGGAGGTTTCATTATAAATTTGTATTTGATACGACAAATGCTATTTTCCAAAGTGATACCTGTCAATCGGGTACAAGGTTTGGTGAAATATATGCAGTTTACTTGGATCAGATATTCAGTCATTTGGTTTAGTGGAACAAGAATAAACGAGGTCAGAAGGTTGAACGAAGAAAAATGATCCGAGTTATCTCCCTTAGAATGGTGGCCAGCAAAACTAAACAAATATCTTTCCGAGAATAAAAGAAACGATTCGATTCGAAATTTCTAACAGCGACGAAGACATAATGTCGTCCGGAAATTATAATGGCTGAAACGCCAGGTTATAACAATCAATATAGAACACCCGTCAAAATTATTCAATTTTTATTATATATATATATATATATATATATATATATATATATATATATATTCATTTTTGTTTGGAAGTAAAGTCTGATGATCCGCAGTCCTTTTAAAGGGATGTGGTGAAATAATTTATTACATGAAACCTTAAAGTGGTCTGTTTTATTTAAATTATTTGCTCTGGATTTACATTGAGGTCTCTGGATTTTATCCTCCTTAAGTTTACCCATACAGATTACCTAGTTTTTCATAAACTATATATATATATATATATATATATATATATATATAATTGTGCATTTGGGCAGCAATCCCTCTCTTATATAAGTTTAAGTAAAAACGACTGCCAAGGTAACGCGGTTAAATTATTTTACACCACCAGCAATATAATCGTTAATAATACAGCTATATTAGGCTCATCCACATGTGAAAAAAAGCCAAAAATAATTGGAGCATTATTAATAAAAAAGAAAAAGCGAACACTCAATATTATCAAGTATGAACACGGCCTGATTGTGCTGACCGTGTTTGGAAAATAAAACATTCTTATAAATCTAAATTTTTTTTAAGCTTTTCACCCCAAGCAAGGCGGGAAGCCACTAGGACGCAAGGGGTTACAGAAGATTTGGAGCAAGATCAGATAGGAGTGATAGAGGAAAGGATGAGGTGAAGGATAGTGGATAGATCAAGGCAACTGGAGATGTCGATTGACATTACATTTGAATATTTGGAGATTATAGCTCTCAGGGAAAATGGAATAGGGAAGGGAGTTCAACAGGCGAGAGGTGCGAGATATGAAGCTATTGGAGTAGAAGAGATAGCTACATTTAATAGTTTCGACAGTAAAAGGGTGAGAGCGGGATGCCAGCCTCATAGGGCGCTTGAATTCATGAAGTCTGGGAACCAGCGAATGCAGCTCCTCGGAGCAATTACCATGAAAGTATTTGTAAAAAAGACAGAGAGAGGCGACGGCGCGTCTGTGAGAGAGCAACTGTAGGCGAGATGCCAGAACAGGGCTAATTATATTGCATATCCGCCTCTGGAGCCTATCAAGAACCCCGAGGCAAACGGAAGGGGCTCCAGACCATATATGGCAGCAATACTCCATGCATAAAACAATCCGTAAGTAAATTTCAAGCCGAAAGGGATCGGCCATACAGAACATTTGGAAATGTCTATATAATTTACGCCCAGAAAAGAGGAAAACAAAAACACAAGAAAAATGAGAGAAAAGACTTAATCACAGTAACTAAATAAAACTTAATGAAAAAACACACACACCATATATATATATATATATATATATATATATATATATATATATATATATATATATATATATATTTGGTTGGATAGATGTGAGTTTGTGACCCTGGGTTTCACGCTTTAGCGATCGTCAGACAAACTGATTACTGTTTTAAAAATTTGGGTTTATGTAGATTACGTGTATTGGTGTTATTAATGGAAGTGGTGGGGGGAGATTTCGTCGTTTTGTCATTCATCGTACTAACGCAAACATCGATGTATGCAGACACATATACATATACATACTTGGTCGTCCGTCGGGACTCATACATATATATAAACATATGTAGACAGTTTCGGCTATGACACATGTATGTAATACGGGTGGTGTTATGTCTATACATACGCATTTGTATGTTGAAATGTTGAAATTTAAACATTGGAAGTGTGGCGGAAATGTCTCGTTATTGTCTCGTGAATGTATCTATGTCATATTATGAAATTTTTTTTTTTTTTTTTTTCCGTTGAAAAATATTTGAAAAATATTTTCTCGCATGTATGTATATATGTGTGGTGGGGTTTGTGTAAAATTATGATAGGTAAAAATTATTATTAAATTATTTATATTTATTTTTAAATATTATTTTATATATATATATGTCAATTTAGGCAGCATATTTTAATTCAAGCATGCTTGCTTAAAAAAAATAATTTGAGTTTATGGGGCTACTGTATTGGCATCCACATATATTTTAAACCCCTGAAGATGGTCTCAGGTGACATTGAAAGTTCTTGGAAAATAAAATTATTTGAAAATAATTTGGAATTTTTCTTAATCAATTGTTTACAGCCTCCAAAAAATTAATTCGTGGACTTGAAAGGATTTAAAGGAAAATAAATAGACATAATATGTCTAAATTATGTAACACACACACACACACACACATATACATATATATATATATATATATATATATATATATATATATATATATATATATATATGTATGTGTGTGTGTGTGGAGCGCAAATATATAAAAAATAGGAAAGAACCCTTAGGTTAATAATCCAAAGTTCTTTAGTATTTTTGTTTTTATTTAAGTAGAGCCTAAATTAGAATTATTTTTTTAAAAAATATGATTCCATCGCTACATAAGAGTTCTCATGTTTCAAAAACAGAAGCTAAAACCATCTCATCTTCAAACGAATTTTGGAACAACTAATCTTGAAATTTAGGGAGCTTTATAAGCATAACTTATATTAAAGCTCTGTAAATTTCAATGGTCTTTAGCTTCTGTTTTTGAAACATGAGAACTCTTATGTAGCGATGGAATCATATTTTTTGTGTTCACATAATCTGTTGTTTAAATTTCTTGAGAATTTCCTATGTATTACCTGTGGCAATTATTACATGTGATACTATATCACATATAATAATTGCCACAGGTAAATAAACTTCTTTTTACCGTTAGCTTATTATTTTTCATCATATACCGGGTGTAGCAACAAAATTGTCCAGATTGTGTAACAGCATAATTATCCATCCTAAAAAATATTTAATAACTAAAAAAACACTCAACAAAAATGAATTTCTTTTGTCTAGGCTTTCAGATAAGACGTTTAGCCATCTTGACACTACTTGTAAGAATCACTGGAAAACCCTTTTGAAACAGATTAGATAGATAGATAGATAGATAGATAGATAGATAGATAGATTGATAGACACATAGGTAAATAGATATTAATAGGTTGAGATAGACAGATACCGGGTGTAACAGCAAAATTGTCCAACTCACGTAAGTGCATTATTATCCATTCTACCAAATGTTTAATATCTAAAAAACACTAAACTAATTGAGTTTCTTTTTCCAGGTTTTCAGATAAGACGTTTGGCCATCTTGACGCAGTGTGTCGTAAGTATCATTGAAAAACCGTTTGTGACAGATTAGATAGATAGATAGATAGATAGATAGATAGATAGATAGATAGATATGAATATACTAAGATAGATTGATAGAAGCATAGCTAAATAGATATGAATACGTTGAGACAGACAAATAGATACCGGGTGTAACAGCAAAATTGTCCAGAATGTGTAACAGTATAATTATCTATCCTAAAAAAATAATTAATATCTAAAAAAAAAATACTCAACAAAATTGAATTTCTTTTGTCTAGGTTTTCAGATAAGACGTTTAGCCATCTTGACACTACTTGCAAGAATCATTGAAAAACCCATTGAAGCAGATTAGATAGATAGATAGATAGATAGATAGATAGATAGATAGATAGATATGAATATACTAAGATAGATTGATAAGCGCATAGGTAAATATATATTAATAGGTTGAGATAGACAGATACCGGGTGTAACAGCAAAATTGTCCAACTCATCTATCCCATCAAAGGACTAAAAAAAAAAAAAAATAAACTAATTAAGTTTCTTTTTTCCTGGTTTTCAGATAAGACGTTTGGCCATCTTGACGCTATTTCTCGTAAGGATCATTGAAAAACCTTTTGTGACAGATTAGATAGATAGATAGATAGATAGATAGATAGATAGATAGATAGATAGATATGAATATACTAAAAGAAATTGATAGAAACATAGCTAAATAGATATGAATACGTTGAGACAGACAAATAGATACCGGCTGTAACAGCAAAATTGTTCAGATTATGTAACAGCATAATTATCCATCCTAAAAAAATATATATTTTATATCTAAAAAAAACTCTAAACTGAATTGAATTTCTTTTTTCCAGGTTTACAGGTAAGATGTTTAGCCATCTTGACGATATTTGTCATAAGAATCATTGACAAACCCTTTGAGACAGATTATATAGATAGATAGATATGAATATACTAAGATAGATTGGTAGGCACATAGGTAAATAGATATGAAGAGGTTGAGATAGGCAAATAGATAACGGGTGTAACAGCAAAATTGTAAAATTCATGCAAGTTTATTATTATCCATCCCACCAAATGTATTGTAGAATAACAATAATAAACAGCACTTGCCGGTGTAAAGGTCCCAGCTAGCGTCCAGCTGGCAGACAAAAATAAAGCAGGTTGTAACTTAATACAAACCCTGCAAACTAACTGATGAATCAAGCTGGTATTTATATAGAAATACCTCCACTCAGGTACCAGCAGCCAATCACAGCCCAAGCAATGGACTATCCCACTTTAGCACAATGAGATGCTCCATGGCAACATAAATAGCTCTCTTTCTAAAGGTTGGATTATTATTCACTTAGCTTGCTCCACAACTGAGTGTTTATCTCTACCACGTGATTTTTCTACATGTATATCTAAAAAAACACTAAACTGAGTTCCTTTTTTCCAGGTTTTCAGATAAGACGTTTACCCACCATTGTTATTTGAATCACTGAAAAACCATTTGAGCTATTCAGTTGGAAGGAGAACAGATTAAAATCATTGTGTGTCAGCCTCAATATGGTTTTTCGAACTGAGCGATGATAAGAGGAAAAAAAGATCAATAAGGTCTTCAGTGTTGGTACCAACATTCATACGTTGGCTTCCATCCTCAAAGACAATTCAATAATAATCAAGGGAACGGTGAATAAGTTTAAAAAAGAGGGAACAGTAGAGAGGAAAACTGGATCAGGAGGTCACAACAGCAAGAGGGATTTACATTTCAACTAAAGAGATAACTTAGAAACTCAATTCATAAGACGTTTTACACATGAGAAAGGGGTTTCGGCCATGACAGTCCAAAGAGCAGTGAAAAAAGACAAGAAAATGAAATCGTACGTAAAACGTGTAAGGCAACTCGTTACATGAGGACAGAAAGATAGAAGTTTAGAGAGGGCGAAGATCATCTTAAATAAGCTGGAAAATAAACATGGAATAATATATATATATATATATATATATATATATATGAACTTTATTTCAGTCTTTCCGGAGCTTACGATACTCAGCTGTTATTAATTAATAATGAACGTGTCATTTTCGTTTATGATCGGTGACATCACGATTCTTTTGTTAAGCTTAGAGAGTAATTATACATTCTTTTTGTTCAAAGTAAAACAATAGAGTTATATATATATATATATATATATATATATATATATATATGTGTGTGTGTGTGTGTGTGTGTGTGTGTGTGTGTGTGTGTGTGTGTGTGTGTGTAAAATATAGAGAAAATAGGAAAGAACTCGTTAGGTAAATAATCTAAAAGTTCTTTAGTATTTTTGTTATTATTTAAAAAAAAAAATAGTGCTCGATACAAAAGTAGAGAATAAATATAATTATTTATTTAAAAATATAATTATTTATTTAAAAATATAATTCCAACGTAGCGTTGGAATCATATTTTAAATAAATAATTTTATATATATATATATATATATATATATATATATATATATATATATATATATATATATATATATATATATATATATATATATATATATATATATATATATGTGTGTGTGTGTGTGTGTGTGTGTGTGCGTGTGTGTGTGATTGTGTGTGTACATATGGTAAAAAATATAGGCATAGTGCGTATGTGAATATAAAATTGTACAAATGAAAGAGACATATGAAATATGAACAGATTCACATAGATATATAGAGTGACAGGTACATAGAATGACAGACACGGAAAGCAGACATGTAGGAATGTTGACGCGTAGATAGATAGATAGATAGATAGATAGATAGATAGATAGATAGATAGATTGGGAAACTGGTTGACAGAGAGAGATACAAGGAAAGCAGACATGCAGGAATGTAGAGACAGTCAACATTGAGCAGAGATAGAATGTGTTATGCCTAAATGCAATCTTCAGGCCATGTAGATTGCACTGTCTGTTGATCTGTTGATCTCAATGTCAGCTTATATACATACATACATACGTTTCATCTTCAAGCGAAACGGGACTAAACACCTCAATTCAACTTAATTTTAATAATTATTTGGAGGGTTTCAGCTATCGTTTTTGAAACATGAGAACTCTTATGTAGCGAAGGAATCATATTTCTAAACAAAAAAAATATTATTATAATATAAGCTCTACTTCTGTATGGAGCACTGTCTTCTTAAAAATAAAAACAAAAATACTAAGGAACTCCGGAATATTCACCCAACGTGTTCTTTTCTATTTTCTGCATACCTGCGCAGTTATACATACATACATACATATATATATATATATATATATATATATATATATATATATATATATATATATTTAAGAGGGAGTTATTAAGAGCGTTTTCAAATAAGTAAGGCGTTAAAGAATTAATTGTCGCATCAAATTTATATGCGCGAACCATTTCCACAACAACTGGACAAACGTCGGCATAGATTTTGAAAGAGTTTCTTGATCAGGCGTGAGACCTTTGAGAATCCTCTCATATCTTCCTTGTTCTTTCTTCTAAAACTGACGTCACGGATTCTCTCTCTTTTTACTCCTGTTTTTATTCTGTGTTTTTTTTTTCCTTTTTTTTTTTCTTCACTTTGGTAGAATTCCAACGTAGATTTGTCAAATAAACAGAAAAACAAGAAGGCCATTTTAAAATGCCCGGGGAAGTCTCCTGGCAGTAGCCATGTTGGAATATTTGGTTTGATATCTCTGATAATTCTCCGGAGAGTCAATCAGGGGAAAAATGTTGCATCCGATTGCCTGATCGATGGTTTTTCTATTTCGAACTAAATCGTTTCTACTTAGATTATCGATTTGTGGTTGAAGCGAACATAGTAACGGCTTTGTTTTAAGAAGCATTGCAAAGAAAATGAATTTTTTTGAAATGATTGAGACAGAAGGAGTGGCATATAAAAGTAGTCTGCTAAATTCGAATGGACAGGATAGATAGATAGATAGATAGATAGATATCGGTAGATATATAGAAAAAAATGGAAGCATACAAACAGACATATAGATAGATAGACAGATAAATAGGTAATGAAAAATATATATATATATATATATATATATATATATATATATATATATATATATATAGATAGATAGATAGATAGATCAACAAAAGATATCGATAGATACACAGAAATGGAGGCGGACAGGCACATAGATAATGAAAAAGATAGATAGATAGATAGATAGATAGATAGATAGATAGATAATGAAAAGACTCAGATAGATAAATATATAGATAATGAAAAGATTCAGATAGATACATTGATAAATAGATCGATCGATAGATAGATCAAGATATCGATAAATACATAGATAGACAAAAATGGAAGCAAGCAGACAGACACAAACATAATGAAAAGACAGATAGATAGATAGATAGATAGATAATGAAAAGACAGATGAATAACTCAGATATGTAGATAGTGAAAAGACTCAGATAGATAGATCGAAGACCTGAAGATATCAATGTTATTAACAAATGTGTCTGAACCGACCGTGACTAATCGATATATGGCTGGACAAGAAAAAACACAGATTAATCATTAGGCAGATATAAATTAAAGTAAATAGAAATCCATAAACGAATTGGTTCGAAATATAGATTTATACTTATGAGTGGAAAAGATTGGAGAGATAAATCTGTTTATAGATATGATCATACAAACAGACAAACAGACAGACAGATAGATAGATAGATAGATAGATAGATAGATAGATAGATAGATAGATAATGAAGAGCAATAGATAGATAGATAGATAGATAGATAGATAATGATGAGATATACATAGATAATGAAGAGCAACAGATAGATAATAAGTTAAAAATAGATCATGGGGAAGAATAGATAGATAGATAGATAGATAGATAGATAGATAGATAGATAGATAGATAGATAGATAGATAATGAGCTGTAGACAGATAATTAGGGGCACTAGATAGATAAATTGACAGATAGTGAAGAGCTATAGATAGATAATGAGGAGAGACAGACAGACAGACACATAGATAGATAGATAGATAGATAGATAGATAGATAGATAGATAGATAGATAGATAGATAGATAGATAGATAAAATGTGCTATGAATAGAAATTGAGGAGCAATAAGTAGATAGATTATGAGGAGACATACATATGATCCAAAAATATATATATATATATATATATATATATATATATATAAGAGATAGAGTGTGGGGTGGAGAGACAGAGACAGAGATCTCAGCTAATATTGGAAATGTCCTGAACTGTATGTGCTGTGACTTTACCGCTCAACGGAAATATTCTCGCTGCTATCACTTGCTACTGACTTAATTTACAAATAGGATTCATACACTATATTCTTGTTCAATTATTAGGCGAGGTTTTATTACGTTATGAGTGTCAAAATGTAGTAAATCTTGATTTAAGATTAATAAATCTGCGTCCACGACAGACGGGTTTTCTTGTCAGGTTGAAAGTATGGGCCGACCTTTACACCACGTCAAATTGCTTAATGATTTTCTAAGCCAAGCTTAGGACGAAATCATGCGACACCCAGTGAGGGTCGAACCCATTATTCAGTAGTAATTGATCTAGCAAACAAATTTCCCCACCATTACACCAACTCAAAAATGCCGAAAGATTTTCAAGGCTGAAAGTATGGGGCCCTCAGTGAGGCTCGAACTCTCAGTTCAGTTATAATTGATCTAGCAAGACGAGCTTGCTAACCATTAAACCACGTGGAAGAACCTTAAGTGTATTTTATACGTGACACAAGGCCAAAGGTATGGGGCACTCAGTGAAGCTCGAACTCTCTATTCAGTTATAATTGATCCAGCGAGACGAGCTTGCTAACCTTACACCATGTGGAAGCACCCTAAGTGTATTTTATACGTAACACAAGGCCAAAGGTATGGGGCACTCAGTGAGGCTCGAACTCTCTATTCAGTTATAATTGATCCAGCGAGACGAGCTTGCTAACCTTACACCATGTGGAAGCACCCTAAGTGTATTTTATACGTAACACAAGGCCAAAGGTATGGGGCACTCAGTGAAGCTCGAACTCTCTATTCAGTTATAATTGATCCAGCGAGACGAGCTTGCTAACCTTACACCATGTGGAAGCACCCTAAGTGTATTTTTATACGTAACACAAGGCCAAAGGTATGGGGCACTCAGTGAAGCTCGAACTCTCTATTCAGTTATAATTGATCCAGCGAGACGAGCTTGCTAACCTTACACCATGTGGAAGCACCTAAGTGTATTTTATACGTAACACAAGGCCAAAGGTATGGGGGCACTCAGTGAAGCTCGAACTCTCTATTCAGTTATAATTGATCCAGCGAGACGAGCTTGCTAACCTTACACCATGTGGAAGTACCCTAAGTGTATTTTATACGTAACACAAGGCCAAATGTATGGGGCCCTTAGTGAGGCTCGAACTCTCTATTCAGTTAAAATTGATCCAGCAAGACGAGCTTGCTAACCATTAAACCACGTGGAAGAACCCTAAGTGTATTTTATACGTGACACAAGGCCAAAGGTATGGGGCACTCAGTGAAGTTCGAACTCTCTATTCAGTTATAATTGATCCAGCAAGACGAGCTTGCTAACCATTAAACCACGTGGAAGAACCCTAAGTGTATTTTATACGTGACACAAGGCCAAAGGTATGGGGCACTCAGTGAAGCTCGAACTCTCTATTCAGTTATAATTGATCCAGCAAGACGAGCTTGCTAACCATTAAACCACGTGGAAGAACCCTAAGTGTATTTTATACGTGACACAAGGCCAAAGGTATGGGGCACCCTGTGTGGCTCGAACTCTCTATTCAGTTATAATTGATCCAGCGAGACGAGCTTGCTAACCTTACACCATGTGGAAGTACCCTAAGTGTATTTTATACGTAACACAAGGCCAAATGTATGGGGCCCTTAGTGAGGCACGAACTCTCTATTCAGTTATAATTGATCCAGCAAGACGAGCTTGCTAACCATTAAACCACGTGGAAGAACCCTAAGTGTATTTTATACGTGACACAAGGCCAACGGTATGGGGCACCCAGTGTGGCTCGAACTCACTACTTCGTCGTAAATGATCTCGAGAGACGAACTTGTCAACGATTACACGACACGGAAGAGCCCATAATGAACAGAGATAAGATTTTTTTTTTATTTGGCTTTTATGTATAATGATCTAGCTTTTTTTCTCGTTTATTTTTATGGATTTTTTTTTATTAATCCGACAAATGTTATCACTTTAAATGTTATTTTTTAGTGTTTATTTATATTTGAATAGACGCTTCATTTATTCAAATAAATGCTGTTGGAGGGGTTAAATTTATCTTTAATTTCTTTCTTGGATATTGTGGCAGGTAAACAGAGATGAATAAATATATTGTTAATTAAATAAACGGAACGTCTAATCAAATACGAGTATCCCAAAAATAAAATGATTTATTTATTTACTTTAAAGGCTTACGGGCACCTCACATTGAAACACCGGTCCTCGTAGGATCATCAGCGTTAAACAACCTCGAGCCTGGCCAGTATGTCGATGGGTGACCGGTTCGGAATACCATTTTCTGTAAGCTAAAATGTGCGTATGGTGTAATTCACCTTGGATTCCTTATGTTGATTTACGCGCAAGTAGTCTTGGGAACGGTACGGATCCACATATTCTCCCACAGCTATGGGTTCATAAGACTTGTACCATTAAACCATTGTTATATCCATGAAAACTAATTCTCACATTCTAAAATGATTTCTGGCTTTAAATAACCTGCAAAGGATTGGTAAGTCATAGAAAATGAATCAATCAATATTTATTTTAAGACTTTTACTCTAAGCAAGGCGATAATGCCACTAAGACGCAATGAGCTATTGGGAGTGAAAGAGAATGAGGAAACGTTAGCGAGGAGAAAAGACAATAAAAGAACAGGTTTCAGAAAGACGGAAGACGACGAAAAGCAAGAAATCCGAAGAGAGTTCCACAGGCGAGAAAAGAAACTATTAGCAGTAAAATGACGAGACCTAACTGCCAATCTAGTACTACGCTTAAATTCATGAGATCGAGTTACCAAAAGAGGTAATTGATTTGACCAATTGCCATTAAAATATTTATAGAAAAAGAACAGCGCATCTACATTACGGCGGTGGGAAAGTGACTGCTACCGATATGCCAGGTCAGGACCGATAACGTTGCAGACTCTACGTTGGGTTTAGTCCTGAATCTCGAGATAAATAGCAGGGACACTTCTCCCCAAATTGCCGGTTTGCTGGTATCGTTATGACTAATGACCCCACCTCTCTTTAGTGCAATGAGGAGTATACAGTCACGGACAGCTATTCCACAGGACAGGGTACCCTTCAGTACAAACTGCTTCTTTGTCCGCGGATGGAGACTACCTGAGGACAGAGACGCAACGGAGGTCCGCGAAACGTGCATAATCTAATGGTTAACAAACCTGCATCGATGGTCAATTGTAACTGAGTTGAATGCTTAATCGGGGCTCCATACTCCCGGCCTTGTGTCACACGTTAAGTTACGCTTAGTAAATCGGTATATAGCTTACGAGACTATCTTATTTTTTTTCTTCTCTTTCATAGAAGCTATTGCTAATGCCGTGCACAGACAACTTCATCTCTCAAGCCATATCCTACCTCTTAAATCTGGAAGTTAAATTCGACCAACCAAAGGAGTACTTAATGGCTGTAGAAAACAGTCGTTCGTCGATTATTCGTTTCATGGAGATATCGCTTTTTTATTTGTGTATTTTGACATTTACTTTGTATTTTTATTATTATTTAGAAATCAAACACGCAGCTATATTTTATTATAATTAATCCTCATCAACAAAAAAATAATAAAATAACACTAGAATAAAATTGAAATTATTATTGGTCCCAAACAGTGGAAGATCGATATGATTTTTAAGTGCGGTCGATACAAAAAAATATGATTGAAGCACTAGATTATTTTATTAATGCTAAATGCGTGCAGGCATATATGTGTTTGTATACACGATTTCTCTGTCTTTGCTTCTGAGGTTTTCGATTCGATCTTTTTTTTCTTTTTCTTTGGTTAATTTTTATGGTTTTCAAAGGAGTCTACTGGACAAAGCGTGTTTTTTTTTCTATATGGTTTCAGGCATTTACAATGATGTAGGCAGATAATTTGTCCGAGGAAGAGAGTTATAGAGTAAGATTAGTTCATTCTGAAATTTGTATCTTATTTTTTTCTTTATTATAATGATTGCGTGTTCGACTTCCAAGTTGTTATTTCTACTGAATTATCTCCCTTTAATGAAACGTGTCAATGGCTGTTGTCTGTTCCTCTGGCAGGAGAAGAGGCGAGAAAAACAAAACTAAAAAACAAAAAAAAACAAAATGAATTTGTAACTTTAAATGTGTGTATGCAGAAAAAAGTGAAGATGGTAAAGGCGGCAGGGGAAAATGGCGATTGTAAAAGCAAGTGTTATTTGGAAGGAAAACAACTGTGTTAATCATGGCGCTGGTAATGGTTAGTGCAAAATCGAATTTCTGGCTCTAATGTATTGAACATGATATATAAGATTCTGTCTATATTTCTGTGATGTGGTATTATGTACATTATTTACATTATTCGAACTATTGTCCTCATCTTTGTCGCCATATTTATTACAACGTTTCGGCCGTTGTACGCTCAGGCCTTCTTCAGGTGGTTGGGATGTCGAACTGAACCCTTTATTTCTCTCGCTGGGGTAGTCTGTTCTAGTTCCACGTGCCATGTTTAATGGATGTCAGTTATCAGTTATCTCCTATTAATTTTCCCTCTGAAAGTTCTCCACTGCCTTAACCGGGTATTGAACTCACACTCTTTGGGTCCTGTCACTGGATCTAACCAACAATTTATTATCTGTCTATATTTCTGAGATGAGGTATTATGTACATTATTTACATTATTCGGACTATCGTCCTCATGTTTGTTGCCATATTTATTACAACGTTTCGGCCGTTGTACGCTCCGGCCTTCTTCGGGTAATTGGAATGTCGAACTGAACCCTTTATTTCGCTCACTGGGGTAGACTGTTCTAGTTCCATGTGTCGTGTTTAATGGAT